CGCCGCGGCCGCCGCGGCGCGCCGGGCCGCGGCGGCGCGCGCCGCGGCCGCGGCGGAGGCCCAGCGCGCCCAGGGCGACGCCGCGGCCCTGGACCGCGACGACCTCGCCGCCGCGGCGGCGGCGGCCTTCGAGGCGTCGCGCTGCGAGGCGCGGCGCGGCGCGGCGTCGCTCGCCGCGGCCGCCGAGGAGTCGCGCGCGCGCGACGCGTCCGCGCGGTCCCAGCTCGCGGAGCTCCGCGACGCCTTCGCGCGCGCCGCGGCGTCGTCGGCCGACGGCCGCGCGGCGGCCGCGGCGAGCGAGCGGCGCTGCGAGGACATGGGCGCGGCGCTGGGCGACCTCCAGGGCAGCAAAAGAGAGCGAAATTCCCAACTTCAAAGGCTCATATCTCGGCCGTTTTCCACTCGTTTTGGCTGATTTTTGGACAAGCGATCATCTCTCGGAGCGCTCTCGAAGCGTGGATGTTTTTTCCGGAACGCGCGCGCGCGGAACACTCACGTTGAAGCGACGTTGAATCACCCTTTTGCTGCCCAGGCGACTTGGCGGACGTCGTCCGCGCGCAAAAGGCCGCGCTCGCGGACAAGGGCCGGCGCCTCGACGAGGCCGCGGCGCGCGAGGCGCGCGGCGAGGCGGCGATGGCCGAGGTCCGGGCCGAGCTCGCGGAGGCGCGGACGCGCGCGGACGGCGCGGAGCGGTCCGCGGCGCTCGAACGCGACCGGAGGGCCGCCGCGGTGCGGGGCCTCGAGCGGGACCGGGACGACGAGGCGCGGGCGCTCAAGGCCGCGGCGCGCGACGCGCTCGCCGCCGCCGAGGCCGCGGGCCGCGCGGCGTGCGCGGGCGCCCGGCGCTACGCGTCGCTGGCGGAAGCCGCGACGGCCGCGGCCGAGAGCAGCGCGGACGAGGCGCGCGCGCGCGGCGCGCGCGTCGAGGACCTGACGCGGCGCCTCGACGAGCTCCGGCTGCGCGAGGACGCCGAGGCGGGCCGCGAGGACGCGCTCCGCGACGAGCGCGACGCGCTCGCGGACGAGCGCGAGCTGCTCCGCGAGGACCTGGACAAGTCGGAGGCGCGCCTCGCGGCGCAGGTCGACGCGGAGATCCACCTCCGGGGCGTCGTCGCGGAGCTGCGGGGCCAGCTCCGCGACCGGGGCGACGTCGTCGTCGCGGACGAGGAGGCCTGGGAGCGCAAGCTCGCGGAGAAGAGCAAGGCGCTCGACTACGTCGAGGCGGAGCTCCTCGGGCTCACGGAGATCTACGAGCGCAAGGAGCGGCGGCTCCGCGCGGAGTTCGACGCGGAGCGCGCGGCGCTCAAAGCCGACCTCGCCGCGCGCGACCAGCGCCGGCCCCTCGCGCCCGTCGCGCCGCCGGAGGCGACGCCGCCGCCGCCGCCGGCGTCCGCGCCGCCGCGGAAGCCGCCGCCGCCCCCGGAGGACACGGCCCACCTCGTCCCCTACTAAGGAGGAAGAGTGGGTCTTATCGCTTCGGGGTGCCCATCACTCGGGCTCGGCGTCGATGTCGGCCATGCTCGCGTCCTTGGGCTTCTCGCATGGCCATCATCGGCAGTCCTCGGTCGTGAGGTTGGCGACGAGCGTCGCGAACTCGACGAGCTCCAAGACGCCGTCGCCGTTCGCGTCGTAGAGCGAGAAGAGCTGGTCGAGCTTCGCGGGCGAGACGTCGACGTCGAGCTTCTCGAGGGCCCGCAGGAGCTCCTCGGGCTGGATGACGCCGTCGCCGTTGTCGTCGACGTCGTTGAAGGCCGCGTCGATGGCGCCCTCGAAGTGGTCGATCTCGCAGAAGACGTAGTGGCGCGCGGTCGCCGCGTCGGCGACGACGCCCGCGTCCGGCGCGGCCGCGTCCTCGTCGAAGGAGTGGAAGCGGTGCTCCTTGACGGCGCTGAACATGTCGAGGAGGCCCGCGATCTGGAGGTTTCCCTCCTCGTCGCCGTAGGACGCGACGAGCTTCGCGAGCGCGTCGTCGGCGATGTCCAGGCCCGCGCTCCGGAAGCCCGCGCGGAGCTCGTCCGGCTGGAGGACGCCGTCGCCGTTCTCGTCGAGGCGCGCGAAGATCTGTTCCAGCGCTCCCTCGTGGTGGTCGCAGCCCATGGCGGCCATGATGTCGTACTCGGTCCGGGGCGGCATGGATACGAAGGACGACAGCGACGACACGGCGCGCGACGTCGTCGCCAGGGAGGCGCGGCGCGGCGCGGCGCGCGCGGCGCGGAGGACGGTTCGCGCGAGCATGGTGCGAGTTGAGGTCGGTAAGGTGCTGACCGTGGGTCTGTGCGCGTGGGTTTCGTAGATGCTGACAATGCGCGCGGTGCTCGTGTGTGCTCGAGCACGATCTCAGGATCTGGTCTCACATCGCTGGGCTAAAGGAGCATGAATGTTGACACCCCCTTTACTGCAGCCGATCTATATCATTCCAGTATATCATTCCAGCCGCGCCGGCGCAACCGCCTCAAAAGTTAAAACCAAACAACGCGTCGACCTCATCCGTCGTCGTTCTAACCTCTCTTCTCCCGCCTCACACCCACCTTCTCCACCATGCGCGAGTGCATCTGCATCCACATCGGCCAGGGCGGCATCCAGGGCGGCAACGCCTGCTGGGAGCTGTTCTGCCTCGAGCACGGCATCCAGCCCGACGGCCAGATGCCCTCGGACAAGACCATCGGCGGCGGCGACGACGCCTTCAACACCTTCTTCTCGGAGACGGGCGCCGGCAAGCACGTCCCCCGCGCGGTCTACGTCGACCTCGAGCCCACGGTGTGCGACGAGGTCCGCACGGGCACGTACCGCCAGCTCTACCACCCCGAGCAGATCATCTCGGGCAAGGAGGACGCGGCGAACAACTACGCGCGGGGCAGGGCCACACAAGAGAGATTCAACGTCACTTTAACGTGAGTGTTCCGCGCGCGCGCGTTCCGGAAAGCATCCACGCTTCGAGACCGTCCCGAGAGATGATCGCTCGTCCAAGAATCAGCCGAAACGAGTGGAAAACGGCCGAGAGAGGAGCCTTTCGCACCCTTGTGCTGCCCAGGCCCGCGGCCACTACACCATCGGCAAGGAGATCGTCGACCTCGTCCTCGACCGCATCCGCAAGCTCGCGGACAACTGCACGGGCCTCCAGGGCTTCCTCGCGTTCCACGCGACGGGCGGCGGCACGGGCTCCGGCCTCGGCTCGCTCATCCTCGAGCGCCTCTCCGTCGACTACGGCCGCAAGTCCAAGCTCTCCTTCTGCATCTCCCCGGCGCCGCAGATCTCCAACGCCGTCGTCGAGCCCTACAACTCCGTGCTCTCGACGCACGCGCTCCTCGAGCACACGGACGTGACCTTCTGCCTCGACAACGAGGCCCTCTACGACGTGTGCCGCCGCAACCTCGACATCGAGCGCCCGACGTACACGAACCTCAACCGCCTCTTCGCCCAGGTCGCGTCGTCGCTCACGGCGTCGCTCCGCTTCGACGGCGCGCTCAACGTCGACATCACGGAGTTCCAGACCAACCTCGTGCCCTACCCGCGCATCCACTTCATGCTCACGTCGTACGCCCCCGTCATCTCGGCGGAGAAGGCGTACCACGAGCAGCTGTCCGTCGCGGAGATCACCAACTCCGTCTTCGAGCCCGCGGGCATGATGACCAAGTGCGACCCCCGCCACGGCAAGTACATGGCGTGCTGCCTCATGTACCGCGGCGACGTCGTCCCCAAGGACGTCAACGCCTCCGTCGCGACCATCAAGACGAAGCGCACGATCCAGTTCGTCGACTGGTGCCCCACGGGCTTCAAGTGCGGCATCAACTACCAGCCGCCCACGGTCGTCCCCGGCGGCGACCTCGCCCGCGTCATGCGCGCGGTCTGCATGGTCGCCAACACGACGGCCATCGCCGAGGCGCTCTCGCGCATCGACCACAAGTTCGACCTCATGTACGCCAAGCGCGCCTTCGTCCACTGGTACGTCGGCGAGGGCATGGAGGAGGGCGAGTTCTCCGAGGCCCGCGAGGACCTCGCGGCCCTCGAGAAGGACTACGAGGAGGTCGGCGCCGAGACCGCCGAGGGCGAGGGCGAGGAGGAGGACTTCGGCGAGGAGTACTAGGCGAAAGCCACCCACCACACCCGGCCCGGGCCGCCGGTCAAGTCGATCTAAGCGCGGGTGAATTCTATTCTTGGCTTTTTTTGGGGCGCGCGGGCAGCTACCTTGGCGACGACGCGGGCGTCGGATGGCGGCTAAGTACAATAATTATTGTAGGCTCTAGGTAAACGCGCCGCCTTGAAGCGCATTTAAAAGCCTCCGACGACGGCTGCCCCTCGGGAGGAGGCTCGTCGGCTCGCGCCGCCCGCCCCGCGCCGATGAAGCGCACGCGCAGCGACGACTCGCTCACGCAGTCGGACGGGTCGATCGTCCTCGACGTCGGCGGCGTGCGCCACAAGACGACGCGGTCGACGCTCGCGACGGGGAGCGGCTACTTCGAGGCGCGCCTCAACTTCGACGGCAGGGAGGAGGACGGCGGCGCGCTCTTCGTGGACCGCGACGGCGAGCTCTTCCACTACGTCCTCACGCACCTGCGGAACAACGGCCTGCCGCGGTCCGTGACGGACCGCCTCCCCGCGGACGCGCGCGCGCGCCTCGTCGTTGAGGCGGAGTACTACGCGATGCCCGCGCTCATCGAGCAGCTCGTCGTGCCGCCCGTGGGCGCCGCCGTGCGGCTGCGGGCGACGGACGGGCCCAACCGCATGCCGGGCCTGAAGCCGTCGACGACCATGGTCTTCGGCAAGATCGCCGAGTACGACCCAGGGCAGCACAAGAGAGCGAAATTCCCAACTTCAAAGGCTCCGATCTCGGCCGTTTTCCGCTCGTTTCGGCTAATTCTTGGACGAGCGATCATCTCTCGGAACGGTCTCGAAGCGTGGATGCTTTTTCCGGAACGCGCGCGCGCGGAACACTCACGTTGAAGCGACGTTGAATCACCCTTTTGCTGCCCAGGTACGACCACGCGGCGCGGCGCTGGACGATCAAAGTCCTCGCGGAGTTCGGCGACGGCCACCCCTTCAACTGCTTCGACTGGGGCGAGCCCGTGCCCCTGGACAAGATGAAGATCGTCGCCGACCACGAGGCCTCCGGCGAGCTCTACCACGACGTCGAGCACGCGGGGTCGTTCGCGCACTTCGCGGGCGACGAGGACCTGCTGCGCATGCCGAGCACGGGCATGCGGAGCTACCGCGGCGCCGGCGACTACGCCTGGGAGTACCTCCTCGGCGACGGCACGTGGCTCGGCCGGCAGAACGACACGGACGCGTTCGGCCCCGCGGCCTTCGACTCGCCCGGCGGCAAGGTCGTCGCGGCGCTCAAGGAGGCGAACGAGTGGCTCCAGACCATCGCGGCCGAACTCTGCAACATCAACGAGAAGGGCATCTCGAAGAAGAAGGTGCGGAGCGCGCCCGCGCCCGCGCCGGCCGCCGCGCCGTGACGCGACCTAAGCCCACTTCGACGCACGAGCGTCGGTTCTCCGGCGGGGTCGGTGTGGCAATACACGAGGCTTAGACCGCGACCTCGACGGGCGCGTCCGCCGCCGCGGGAGGCGCGTCGCCGCCGCCCTGGCGCTCGCGGACGTACTTGGACTGGCGGCCGACGGTGAAGCCGGCGCCCGCGATGGAGCGGATCCAGTCGCCGCGCCGGCCCTTGCCCATGATGTGGCAGTGGAGGTACTCGGCGAGCCTCTGGTGGCGCCGGAGCGGCGTCTCGGGCATCGCCGCGGCGTCGCAGAACCGGTCCGTCGCCGCGGCCCAGGACAGGCGCCGGCGCATGCGGTCGCTGAGGGGCGGCGGCTCGTGGCGCAGCGCGAAGGCGTAGTGCGTCGCGAACTCGGCCTTGGTCTCGAAGGGGAGGCACGTCGGGAAGTCGTAGAAGAACTCGTTCGACGGGTGCTTGCGGATGACGACCCACTTGCCCATGGCCAGCGCCTCGGCGATGGTCGTGCAGAGCACCTCCGTTTTCGACGGATTGACCAAGACGCGGAAGTCCTGGCAGAGGGGCTCCGCGTGGTCCCGGCGGCCGTGGAAGACCGCGGGGAGCTTCCGTTTCGCGAACGACCTCGCGACGTCGTGGCGGTGGAGCCCGTCGCCGACGACGTGCACGGGCCCGCCGGGCAACGTGCCGCCGAACTCCCTGGCCGTGTGGGCGAGGAGCCGGCCCAGGTCGTCGAGCCCCTTCTGCCAGATGAGCTTGCCGATGAAGTAGGCGCCTTCGGTGCCCGCCGTCCCTCGCGCCTCCGTCTCGGCCCAGGGGTTGGACGCCGCCGCGGGGAGGGCGCCGCCGCTCAGGAAGGGCTGGCGCACCTTGCGGCCCTCGCCGACGTCGAGGAACGCGCCGCGGACGCCGTGGACGTTGCAGACGACCTCCGCGTCGTCGTTGCCGACGCGCGGGAGCGTGTTCGACAATTTGACGATGCGGTGGCAGTGGCCGTTGGTCATCCAGCGGCTCATGAGCAGGGCCATCATGGCCTTGAAGGGCCCGACGACGGGGTGCACGAGCTCGCCTAAGAGGCCGCCGCACGCGCGCTCCGTGGCCGCGTAGGACACGTAGTGCGTGTGGACGACGCCCACGACGTGGCCCTGGGACCGCCAGGCCGACGCGTCGCCGTCGACGAAGGAGTACCAGTTCAGGTGCTCCGGCTCCTCGAGGACGACGACGTCCGGCGCCCAGGCGCCCGCCTCGGCGCCGCCGCCGCCGTCGTAGCGGCGGAAGTCCGCGCGCGGCAGCGCCTCGACGGTGCGCCCCATGGGGTAGATGGACCCCTGGGGCGTGTGGTAGTGGGCGTCGTAGAAGGCGATGCGCAGCTTCTCCGCCGCCTCGGCCATGCCCGCCGTGTCCCGGACCCACGCGGCCACGTACCGCGCCTGGTCGCCGCGCGTCTCGAAGCGGATGTCCTTGTAGACCTCGTGCTGCCGCTCCGGCTCGAGCCAGGGCAGGTAGAGCGTCACGGCGCCGTCGGGCCGCCCCGCCGTCAGGTGCGCCGCGCGGAGCAGCGGGTTGATGGCCGTGCCCGTCAGCCAGGGCACCGACGCCGTCGTCATGATCAAAATGCGCTTGCTCGCGTCGCGCAGGTCCGACGCCGCCGTGTGCGGTCGGATGGCCGTTGCTGCTGTGGGTTGCGTGCCGAGGCGGCCATGAGCGATTTGCGCGGCTAGCACTAGAGCCAACTTCAAACTCAGAGCGCTCTTCATAGCTCGCCGCGGGCGGAAACTACACCTTGGCGACATTGAAGAGTATTGAAGTCACAAAGCAGCCCCGAAAAAATCATCATCTGGCGAGGTATGTCGGGCTTCCGCGGCGTGCGCAAGTCCATCGCGCGCGCGACGGGCGTGCACAACGCGTTTAGCGCGCAGCAGAAGGACGTCGACAGCAGCTGGGTCATCGAGGAGGGTCCGACGCCGGCGCCGGCGCCGGCGACGCTCGCGTCGCCGGCGCGCGCCGTGCGCAAGTCCGTCGCCCGCGCCACGGGCCTCCACAACGCCTTCTCGAGCCAGCAGAAGGACGTCGACGCCTCCTGGGTCGTCAACGACGGCAGGGAGCCGCCGGCGGGCGTGCCGCGCCGCAGCTCCGACGGCGACGCGCGGAAGTCCGGCGTCGCGCGCGGCGTCCGCAAGTCGCTCGCGCGCGCGACGGGCGTGCACAACGCCTTCAGCGTCCAGCAGAAGCATACGGGCGCCTGGGTCGTCGAAGAACATAAGACGCCCGAGACGCCCGTCGTCCACGACGACGAGGAGCTCCACGTGCTCAACACGGCCGAGCCCGAGTTCGACGGCCGCGACCGCTGCGGGTTCACCAACTTGCCGAAGCGGCCCTTTACGGCGCCGCCGGAGTCGGGCACGTGGTGCGACGCGGGCGCCGCGGGCCTCTTCAACGTGCGCCAGAGGGGCTACGACGCGCCGCCCGTGGGGCGCAACGAGACGATCATGACGAAATTATTGGAGCTCAAGAAGCCGTCCGCGGCGGCCGTCTACGACGTCGTCCACGTCGATATCGTGACGTCCCCCGCGAAGAAGGAGGTCGACGTCGTCAAGCACGCCCTGCGGCCGCCGAAGCCGGGCCGCAAGTCGCCGCTCGAGGGCCTCGTGCCGTCGATCCTCGTCCTGAACGTCATCGTCCCGGCGCTTAAGGGCGACGACGACGACGGCGCGTGCCACCAGCTCTGCGTGACCTGCGAGCTCAGCGCCTGGGCCCACGCGGAGCTCGCGCGCACGGCGCCGAAGCACGGCTACGGCCAGCTCAACCTGAAGCTCGCCGTGAACGCCATCGAGGACCCCGCGCTCCGGCTCTGGGCGACGTTCTGCCGCGACGCGCGCCGCGAGGCCCGCGACGCCGTCGGCGAGACGCGGAGCCGCTTCAAGCTCTTCTGCGGCGTGCCCGACGCGGAGACGCTGCCGAGCCTGTTGCGGCCCTACAACGCGCGGCCGCTATTGGTGCGGGAGCCGGGCCAGATCTACTTCCACGACGGCTTCGGCGACGTCGCGGGCTTCGACGTCGACGGCTTCAAGTTCCACCCCGCCCAGCGCCTCGCCGTGCACACGGTCGCGCCGTCGTTCCAGGACCGCACGGTCAACGTCGCCGTGGCCGTCGAGGCGCGGCACGCCCGCGAGCTGCCGGAGCGGCTCCTCGCGGCCGTGCAGCTCCGGGGCGTCGGCCGCGAGCACGGGAAGCAGTTCGAGTGGTGGACCAAGTTCGCCAAGCCGCGGCGCAACACGGCCTAATGCGCTTAGATCCCGCCGCCGAACCCGTTCCGCTGCTCGCGGCCCTCGATGCAGAGGCCGTGGTCCGTCTCGAGGCGCCGCCCCTTCCGTCGCCCGCGGTCCGGGTCGTCCGCGTCGAGGCGCCGCCGCCAGAAGCCGCCGCCGCCCGCGGCGAGGAGCTCGTCGAGGGTCGGCTTGGGCTTGGCGCACGTCGTCGGCAGGTGCGCGTAGCGCGCGGCGATCTCCTGGACGTAGGGCTCGTCCCAGTTCGTCACGAGGTCCGCGAGCACCTCGCCGTGCTGCTTCACGGGCAGCCGCGGCGCCGCGTCCGTCGGCCCCAGACCCAGGAACGCCTCGAGCTTCCCCATCGTCCGGTTGTAGAGGTCCAGGCTGCAGAGGTCCCTCTCGTACGTGAGCCGCAGCACCGCGGGCGCCGCGCCGTCGACCTCCAATAAACTCACGATGCCCTGGGCGTAGGACATGAACTGCTTCTCCGCGTGGATCCACAGCCGGAAGAAGTCGTCGGAGAGCGTCACGTTCCGCGCGGACTCGCGCGCCTCGTCGTACTGGACCCAGACGCCGCCCTTCTGCGCGAGGCACACGGAGACGTACTGGGCGAGCTCGTTGTCCCGGCTCAGCCAGACGAGGTGCGTCGCCCACTTGAGGAAGTCGGGCAGCTGCTTCGTCCTCATGTGCTTCTGGAAGAGCTTGAAGCCGACGATCTCGCGGCCCCGGTGGTGCGCGGCCATGTGGTCGAGGAGCCGGAGCGGCTCGCTGCGCCGCGCGGCGAAGACGTCGTCGGGCACCTCGACGTCGCCGTCGAAGCCGTCCTTGTCGGACGTGCGCAGGTCGTACTGGTGGAAGGGCTCGCCGTGCATGAGGATCTGCCGCCGGTGGGCCCGCAGCATGGCCACGAGCAGCGAGCTGCCCGTGCGCGGGCCGGAGAGCACGACGAGCCGCTTCGACCCGGGCGCCGGCGCCGGCGCAGGTCGCGCCGAAGCGACGGCGAGCAGGAGCAGACGGGCTGCCCCGCGCGCCACCATCGTTCAGTGCTACAACTTGCAGTACAAGCGGGAGGAAACGTCGGCCAAAAACCCAGTTTGCCAGCGCATGGCTGCGTCGATGCATGCCTTCGCCAGGAGCGCCACGCTCGCGGCACCGCGCGCGCTCTGGCGCGGCGCCGCGAGCGCGGCGAAGCCGCCGTCGGCCTGGGACACGCCGGCGGCCAAGGTCGCCAAGTTCGCCTTCTTCGGCGGCCTCGTCGGCGGCACCTTCTGCCTCGGCTGCTGGCAGAGCCAGCGCTACTTCTGGAAGGTGGACCTCCTCGAGCAGCGGCGCCTGGCCCTCGCCGCGGCGCCCCTGCCGCTGCCCGCGGGCGCGACGGCGGCGACGCTGGCCGACGACGCGCCGGAGCTCGACGAGCGGTGCCGCCGCGTGACGCTCCGCGGCACCTTCGACGCCGCGCGCACGGCCGTCGTCGGCCCGCGGAGCGCGCCGCCGGGCGTCGGCACGCAGGCGACGGGCCTGGGCACGTCGCCCCAGGGCCACCTCGTCTTCACGGTGCTGACGCGGCCCGACGGCTCCGAGGTCGTCGTGAACCGGGGCTGGGCGCCGCGCGGCGCGGACCCGGCGGCGACGTGCCCGCGCGGGAGCGTCGACCTCGTCGCCGTCGTCGACGGCGGCGAGACGCCGGGCACGTTCTCGCCCGTCAACACGGCCGAGGACATCTTGTGGGTCGAGCTTCCCTTCCTCCGGTCGCACCTCCGCTGCGGCGGCGACGCGCTCCTCGTCAACGCGTGCCCGGCGGACGGCACGGCGTCGGCCTACCCGAAGCCGCGCACGCCGGACCACCTCGTCACGGCCGCCGTCATGCCCCAGACCCACGCGGCCTACGCGGCGACGTGGTACGCGCTCTCCGCCGCGGGGGCCGTGATGACGTGCTACGTCTAAGCCGGGTCGGACATGGTACGCCGCGGACGGCCGCCGGATGGAGCATGGCACGCCGCAGTCATGATGCTTACGCCGGGTAGACGACGGGGAGGAGCGCGTGGTCCGCGGGCGCGCCCGGCTCGAGGTCGCCGAGCCACGCCTCGTAGGACGGCGCGTCCTCGTCGTTGACGCAGAGCATGCCCGCCTCGTCGATGAGGTGCGCGCCGTCCGCGAAGAAGGACACGGCGACCGCGGTCCGGTCCTCGAGGACGTTCTCCGGCGCGCTGTGCAAGAGCCAGCCGTGGTGCCAGGAGACGTCGCCCGGCGCGTAGGCGCCGTGGTCGACGACGTCGTAGCGGCCGTCGCAGTCGCCGTCCTGGCCGTACCACATGGGCAGCGCGAGGTCCCGGTGCGACCCCGACGCGTAGGCCAGGCCCGTGCCGCCCTCCTCGGACGCGGGCACGGCGTGGAGCGGGAACCAGCACGTCACGAAGCCGTTCGTGTCGAGGGGGCTCGTGTGGAGGTCGCTGTGCCAGTTCGTCGGCTCGTCGCCCGCGCGTTTTTTGAAGATGCAGTCCTGGTACAACCGCACGCGGTCGCAGCCCAAAAGCTGCGCCGCGACGCCCGCGAGCCGCGGGCACGACGCGACGCGCCGCGCGGCCGCGTGGCGCCGGTGCGCGTTGAAGGTCTGCAGGAATGGCGCGCGCTCGCCGTCGTGGAGGTCGTTCATGGCCTCCGCGTGCCGCACGGCGTCCGCGGCCTCGGCCGCGGCGATCCTCGCGACGGGTTCGGCGATCGCCGCGACTTCGTCATCCGTCAACAGACTTCGCGTGCAGAGGTGGCCGTCGCGCTCGAAGCGCAGCAGCGCCGACGCCGACAGCGGCGGCGCCTCCTCCGAGAGCGACTCGAGGCCGGCGACGTCGGCCGCGGCGTCCGCGGCGACGCGGAGGCCGGCGCCCGCGACGAGCGCGTCGAGGTCCAGGGAGTTGAGGGCATTCGCGCCGAGGGCGCCGTCGACGTCGTTGGCGCCGAGGGCGTCGTCGGCGAGGACGCGGCGCGCTGTGCAAGGACGGCGGCAGGCGGACGGTTTCGGGGCGCTACCGCGCCGCGCGCGCGTCGCGGAGCTCGCCGGCGAGTGCGCCGGCTGCGGCGCGATCAAGGCGGCGCTCCGGGCGGCGAGACAGGCGACAAGGAGCACTGAGAACATGCTGCTTTGTCGCCTCAAACAGAGCTCCATCGCGAACATCAATCCGGCTTCGCCACAAATTCGCCACAGGCCTCGGCGCGGAGCATGGGACCCGACGCCGCCGCGCCGTCGGGCATCGACGAGGAGCCGCCGCTTAAGAAGGCGAAGACGGGCAAGGGCCGCTTCGGGCGGTCCAAGGAGGAGGACGAGCAGCCGCGCGTCGCCTTCCCGTCGAGCGACAAGGCGCCGCAGCTGACGCTGTCCGGCGACCGCCTGACGGTGACGGGCACGACGGGCGGCGGCGGCGGCTACCGCATGGCGCGCGGTAGCCACGGCGTGAGCGCCGGCTGCTGGTACTGGGAGTGCGCCGTCGCGACCGACCGGCCGGAGGGGTGCCACTACCGCGTCGGCTGGGCGACGAAGAAGGCGCCGCTCCAGGCGCCCGTGGGCTACGACCGCTGGAGCTTCGCCTACCGCGACGTCGCGGGCGCCCTCGTCCACGCGTCGAACCGATTGGACGGCTACGGGTCCGAGTGGGGGCCCGGCGACGTCGTCGGCTGCATGATCGTCTTCGGCGACGGCGCGGCCGAGGACCTCGACGACGAGAAGCCGCCGGACGAGGCCGCCCGGCCCGACGGCGGCGACGTGTCGGCCACCAACTACGTGCGCTTCTTCGTCAACGGCGTCGACCAGGGCGTCGCCTACGCCAAGCTCCCGCCGGGCACGTACTTTCCGGCCGTCTCCGTCTACAAGGCGGGCCAGGTCACGGCGAACTTCGGCCCGGCCTTCGCCCACGCCGTCGCGGACCTCGACGTCAAGGACGCCGTCCCCTCGCCGCGGCTCTGCGTCGAGCGCTCCGCCGCGCCGCTCTCGGACCTCATCCCGCCGCCGCCGCCGCCGCCGGAGGACGGCGACGAGGACCTCGCCGCCGCCGGGGAGCCCGTCGCGGTCTAGCCTAGATCCCCTCGTGTTCCATACTAGGGCCGTTAGACGTCCTCGAAACAGACGGCCGACGTCGCGTTGCTCGACACGTTGTATTTCAGCGCGAAGTAGAACAGCACGGAGACCATGCCCTCGCTGCGGTAGCTCGTCAGGCTGAACGCGCCGCCCCAGAGCATCAGGAACTGCACCGCCGGATGCTGGATCATGTTCCGCTGGTTGATGCCGCTCTTGAGCCCGAGGTCCTGCGCGAGGACCTGGACGATGCCGTAGCCGCCCGCGACGCGCAGCGCGTAGTTCATGTAGAGATCGGGGATCCACGTGATGAGCCGCTTCGACGCGTTGTAGCGGCAGTCCCAAAACGCCAGCATCGCGAGCGGCAGCAGCATGACGAGCGGCGCGGGGTCGATGGTGCTCGACGAGCCGCGAAGCTCGACGCGCCGCAGCCCGAGCTTGCCGTCGACGTAGGCGTTGGCCCAGTCGTGCCAGTAGATGTTGCAGAGCACGACCACAAGCAGCAGCTCCCAGGGCGCCCCTCGCGCGAACCACACGGGTTGCGCTTGCTGTCCCTCGCCTTTGGCGCGGACCTCGGCGAGCTCGGCGCGCAGCGCGCGCACCTCGAGCGCCAGCGACGTCGTGTCCATGGCCGAGAGCTCGATCTCGGCGGTACTCATCTATCTACTCGTTTACGTGCTCTTCATCTGGGCCGTCAGGCCGTGCGGTGATCCTGAGAGCTCGAGCATCGATTGCCACAAGCTTCAATATAACTTCACCAAAAACTGCAAGTAAAACATTAAGACCGGAAGTCCGAGCATATGGCGAAGACGGAGAGGTCGGCCGTGCCGAGGTCGTGGCCGTAGAGGTACTTGTTGTCGTGGAAGGGGTTGAACTTCCGCTGGACCTGGCGCGTGCCGCTGAACTGCGTGTGCTTGAGGCCGTCCTGCTCGCTCGTGTCGCAGGGCACGATGGGGAGCTGGGTCCGGCGCATGAGCTGGTGCGTGCCCTCGACGGAGTGCTTCGCGGGGTCGAAGAGCGTCGACAGCGCGATCTCGCGCCTGCGAGGGCCGCGCGCGGTCGAGCGACGGAACGGAAAAGAAGGGAGACGCGGCGGGGCCGCGCTTGCCGAGCATGCGGTCCGCGAAGACCGTGCGCGCGGAGAAGAAGTAGAGGCGCACGACGGAGTCGTCGTCGGAGCGGAAGGGCACGAGCACGTCGAGCATCGCGTCGAGGTTCCAGACCGGGTCCGCGGTCGCGGGCTCGTGGCGCGACTTGATCTCGAAGCCCGCGTAGGACACGATGCAGTAGGGGTTCATGTCCTTCGCCGGCGCGCCGACGTTGAAGAGTTGCCGCGCGCGGTGCACGGAGACGACGATCTTCACGGGCTGCCGCTCGAGCGAGGCCAGGTTCGCGAGGCTGTCCTCGCGGCGCGGCAGGTCGTCGACGGCGCGCGCCTTGGGCGACGCCGGCTCGTCGGCCGACGGGCTCTTGGGGACGGGCTCGGGCCCGGCGTCGGGCGGCGTCGGGGCGGGCGCGGGCGCGTCGTCGCCGTCGCGCGCGGGCGCGGCGAGGACCTCGCAGCCGTCGGGCGGCTCCGCGTCCTCGAGGGCCTCGGCCGCCGGGAGCGGCGGCGGCGGCGAGGGGAACTCGCGGCTGAGCTCGATGATGCGCTCCTGCTTGGGCGACACGGCCTCGGACGGGCTCGGCGGGTCCGGCGGGTCCGGCGGCGCCGGCGCGCGGCGGAGAGGGCTCCGGAAGAAGGCGAAGAGCGACGACGACGTCGCGTCGTCGTCGGCCCGGCGCCGCGCCGGGCTCCCCAGGACGACGTCGACGTCGTAATCCGCGTCGGAGGACGCGAGCTCGTCGTCGCCGGCCGCGGAGCTCGACTTGGCCGCGCTCGGAGGCGGCACGGACGCGCTCTTGCGCCGCGGCCGCTCGCGCGGCGGCGCCGTCGCGGCGTCCTCGTACTCGGCGACCCGCGGCGGGACGGCCGCGGACTTCCGGAAGCGGAGCGGCCGCGGCGGCGTCGCCGGCCCGCCCCGGCCGTCGAAGTGCATCATCGGCGTCGAATTGCTGCGGTCCACGCGGCAGAGGTTGTGCCAGCCGCTCCGGTGGGCGTGGTACGCGTCGTCGCCGCTCGTCGTCGCGGCCCGGGGCCGCATGGTTCGGGAGGGGCCCCGCGGGCGGTCCCCGTCGGTCGTGTCCCCGCGCGCGGCTGCAGCCCACCTCGTCTCTCGAAGCAACCACACGAAGCCGAGGGGCAGCTTGTGTTCAAAGAGACAAAAGTTAACGTTGAAGCGGCCCTAGCGCGCGGCGCCGGGCACGGGGATCTTCGGGAGGGGCGCGGGGAGCGGGGAGCAGATGTCCCAGTTGACGATGGGGAGGTCGAAGCGCGTGCCGTTGGCCTCGGCGACCATGGTCTCGAGGATGACGCCGCCCGGCGCGCCGAGGAACGAGTCGACGCCGTCCCAGGAGGCCATGCGGTGGAACCACTCGACGTTCGCGTCGCGCCACTCGCCGACGAAGGCGCCGAAGCTGTCGTCGCCGCGGACGACGGCCTCCATGCCGAGGTGGTCGTCCATGTACTGGTCGTAGTTGTCCTCCGTGAGGTTGCCGTGGAGCGCCTCGAGGTAGGCCTCGATGCCCGCGAGGTCCATGTAGCCGCGCTTCGCCCGGGGGTGGTGGAGCCACTGGATGTAGAAGGGGTAGGGGTCCGAGCCCACGAAGTGGTTGAGGCCGATGGCGATCTCCGCGCCGCACGCCGCGGGCAGCTCCTGGTCGACGACGAGGCCGCCCATGTGCCGCTCGACGAAGGCCGCGGCCTCCGCGGGCGTCGTCGAGGCGTAGGACATGCTGTAGGGCCAGACGGGCGGCAGGGACTCGGCGCCGTAGGGCTCGATGGTCCGGAGGCGCGAAAAGTACGCGGCGTTCGCCGTCGGGATCTTCCGCGGCGCGCAGTCGTCGGCCCCGGACGCGACCGTCGGCCCGTCGTAGGACGCGAAGGTGTCGCTGACGATCTCCACGAGGATGCCGTGGGGGATCTCGACGAGCACGCTGTAGAGCGTGAGGTTCTCCGCCGGGATGAAGCGCGCGCGCGGCGAGAAGGGCACGCCGTCGCGCCGGTAGAGCTCCGCGAAGGGGTCCAAGGACCCCGCGGCGAGGGTCATGTGCATGTCCGCGAGCTCGTCGGCCGGGTTCGCCGCCTCGCTCAGGTTGCCGTGGAGCCACTCCTGGTACCCGTGGAGCTGCACGAGCGACATCGGCCCCGTGGGCTTCCGCGACGTCTCGACGAAGTGCCAGTGGAACTGCGTGTTGTTCGCGTTGTGCGGGTCGTCGGGGCTGAAGTTGACCCACTTGATGTTCGCGCAGGACCCGTTGCCGCCGTCGACGAGCTGGTCCGTCCAGAGGCCCCCGACGTATTTCAGCGTAAAGTCCTGGGCCGCGAGCGGGTCCGCGCAGGCGATCGTGTTCTTCCGCGGGCGCAGCGCCGGGAGGGCCGAGACGATCGCGCAGAGCAGAGCCGCGGCGACGGGACGGCGTCCCATGCTGGCGTAAGGGCAGCCCTTCTCTTCGCCTCCCATGAAACACGATGCTTGACTTCGGCACGGTCGACCTGCTCCACAGATCGAGGCGCGGCAACATGCGCGTTAACTTGCGCGGACTTGCGCGGCACATGCACGCGAGACGCGAGCCCCAGTATGTCTTACCAACACGTTTAACAGCACACGTCGGCCGTGAGCGCGGGCTTGGCCGCGTTGCGGCACTCGTACCGCAGCGCGCCGTCGCGCTCCGCGCGGGCCAATAGGCGCCGGTCGTGGCCCCAGGTCGCTTTTGTGTACGACTTCGAGTTCTTGTCGTGGTCGGTGGCCGGGCACTCGCCGGGCCAGTGGAGCCAGCACGACGCGCAGCGCTGGCTCGTCCAGAGCGCCGGGGCCGCGGGCGCGTCGCCCGGCGCGCCCGCGCCGAGGCCGAGGAAGTCGCGCGCGCGCGCCGTGGCCTTCGCCGCGAGCGCCGTCGCCGTGGTGGTCGTCATCGTCGCCCCGGCGCGCCGGAGGTCGCGGGCCCAGGCGTCCGACGCCGCGAGGTCCGCGACGCCGCAGAGCGCGAGCCCCCGGCCCGCGCAGGCCTCGGCGGCCGCTCCGCCGTCGCGCGCGCGCGGCGCCGCGGCGCCGACCTGCGGCCGCGCGGGCCGCGGTCGCGGGGCGCCGCCGAGGAGGCGCCGCCAGAGGCCGTCGTCGTAGGGCACCGTCGTCACCTCGCCCTTGGCGGGCCCGCGGAACGCGTAGAGGCGCACGGCCCTGTTGTCGATGTCCGTGAGCGCGATGAGGTCCGTGCCCGGGAGCCGCGTCATCGCGTGGGGCCGCGAGAAGTGCGCCGCCGAATACGGGCCGTCGACCCAGTTCACGCTCCGGGTCCGCGCCGTGAGGAGCCGGCAGGCCTCGCCGACCTCGAAGAGGCCCTTGCACCCGGCGCCCTGCTGGGGCCCGGAGATGACGTAGAAGAGGCCGTCGGCCTTGACGGCGTCGCGCGCGTGGTGGCCGTTGCAGGCCGACTGGACCTTCACGGCCCGCGGCGCGGCGGACGCGTTCCGCGTTTTCAGGACCAAAACGGCGCCCATCGTCGTCGCGAGGAGCTCGTTCTCGTCGTCGGCGAACTGGAGCCCCGCGGCGCCGTCGGCCTCGAGGATCCGTTTCGCGGGCATCGCCGCGCCCGTGCGGCGCGGGTCGAAGGCGAAGACGCCCCGGGAGAGGTGCGCGACGTACCCGGCGCTTCCGTCGGCCGAGACCCGCACCATCCGCAGCTTCCCCGAGTGCGTGAGGTTCGCGCCGTCGACGACCAAGGCGAGCGGCGCCACGGACGCGTTGCCGAGGCCGGCGAAGTCGCGGCGCGCCGCCATGGCCGCGAGCGGCTCGGGCAGCGAGACGCGCCAGAACTCGGCGCCGTGGTTCGAAGTGACGTACGCGAAGCCGCAGGTCGGGCAGGACGCGACGCCCGTCAGCGACACCCAGGTCTGCGGGTCCGAGGCCGCCGTGACGCGCGTGCCGTTCTTGTCGAGCGGCCAGGACAGCGCGCCGACGGCGCCGCCGAGCTTCGCGTCGACGACGAGGAGCGCGTTGATATTCGAGTCGGCGATCACGACGTAGCGCGCATCGATGGCGTAGATCCCGACGGGACCCTTGCCCGTCGACGAGCATTGCGGCACGAGCGCCGCGACGACGACGCATCGGATCGCACGCAGGAGGCTCATCGGCACTCGATGGCTGCTTCCTTATCGGATCGCATGCGGGAGGCCCATCGGCTCGGCTCTTTGGTTCAGGTGCAGTTCAACGTTATCGCGACGTGGACCCCTCGGACGCGGACGACGCGCGCCGTCGCGGGCCGCGGGCCGCGGCGGCGCTCGTCTGGCGTCGCCGCCGCCGCTTGACGGGCGGCAGGGAGCCCCGGCGCGGCGGCGGCGGCGGCGCGACGCGCGGCGCCGCGGCGGTCTGGACGTCGACGATGCGCGCGGCGCGCTCGTCGATGGACCGCGACACGAGGAGGCGCCGCGCGCGGAGGTCCGCGAGGAGCGCCTTCGCGTCGACGCCGCGGCGCTTCATGTCCTTCAACGAGCAGCCGAGGCCCCGGCTCCCGAGGACGTCGGCGACCTTGCGCGCGAGCGCCTCCCGCTCGCGCCGGAGGCCGTCGAGCGCCGCGCTGTCGTCGTAGAGCGCCCGGAACGTCGCGCCGTCGTCGCTGCGCTCGTCGTCGTCGTCGTCGTCGACGGCCGCGGCCTCCGCGGCGAGGCGCCGGTAGACGCCCCACTCCTCGAAGACGGGCTCGAACAAAGGCGCGCCGCCGGCGGGGAGCCGCTCGTCGTGGCCGACGACCAAAAAGCCCTGATCCGCCGTGGCGGCGTGGATGGCCTCGAGGAGCTTCGCGCGCTCGGCCCTCGCCAGGTACATGAAGCCGCTGTGGCGGCAGAAGACGAGATGGTAGGCGCCCTCGCGCAAGCCCTCGACCTTGCGCAGATCCAGCGACGAGAACGTCACGCTCCCGCGGAACCGCGGCTTCACCGTCGCCGCCTCCGCGCCGTCGGACTCGTCCCGGCCGACGGCGAAGAGCGCCGCGCGCACGTCCTCGGGCAGGTCTGAAAAGCTGTCGACGCTCGCCGCGTTGTCGCCCGGCGACGCGATCTCGAGGCGGTACCGGCCCGCGCGCGCGACGGCCAGCGAGTCGCCGTCGAGGTCCGTCGCGTCGACGGCGACGTCGCGCTGGCCGCCCATCCTCGCGCCCGCGCCCGACGACGCCCAGCGCCGCCAGTACGCGGCGAGCGCGTAGGGCTCCTGCCCCGTGGAGCAGCCCGCGCACCACGCGCGGACGACGGCGTCGCCGGCGCCGCGCGCCGCGTCCGCGACGCGGCGGAAGACCTGCGCCTGCAAGAAGTCGAAGACGTGGTTCCGGTTCCACTGCGTGAAATTGATGCGCAAGAGGCCGTCGAGCGCCGCGTCCTCCGCCGCCGTGCGCTCCAGTGCCGCGTAGGCCGCGACGCCGTCGGCGTTCGCCGGGACGTCGACGCCCAGCACCGCCAGGCGCTGAATGATGCGGTGGCGCACGACGCGGAGGCAGGACGGGTGGAAGCCGCGGCTGTCGTAGCCCCGCGCCTTGAGCAGCTGCGCGAGCGCGTCGTCGCGCTGGTCCGACGGTTTTGTGAGCGCGTCCTCCGGCGGCGCGGGCGCGGGCGGGCAGCTCATGGGCAGCTCGGCCATCATCGGCGTTGGCGCAGCACCTTGCCTGCGAGCCCGGCCCTCGACTGACTCGAGAGAAACAATCGTCTCACGTTTCGACGCGACCCGGACGCCATCATGCACTACGGCTCGACGGGGTACGAGGAGCTCAAGGAGAGCGAGTCGCCGCTGCTCCGGCCGGGCTTCGACGAGATTTCCGGGGGCGCGCCGCCGAAGGAGTCGGAGTACCTGAACGTGAATCGGCGAACGCGCTCCCTGTTGCCCCGCTACTGCGGCTTCCTCGTGCTCTTCGCCGTGTTCCTCGTCATTTTCCTGCCGATCTTCACGTCGGACACGAAGCGGCACACGCGCCACGAGTACGTCCCCTCGCCCGAGGATCGCGACTCCGACGACTTCGCGCCCGTCCTCGTGGCGTCGTTCGGCGAGGGCGAGTACGAGTTCGACCTCTACTGCCACGGCTGGCTCGACGACCTCGACTTCAACCCCTTCCACTGCGGCAAGCCGGACTACACGCTCTTCTGCCCCCAGCTCTGCGCGGCCGGCACCGCGTGCGCGGACGTTTGCGGAAAGGCGTGCGAGTCCGAGGAGGACTCCTGGGCCGCCTACTGCGTCATGGACGCCTTCGCGAACCTCGAGGAGACCTGCGCCGGGACCTACGACCCGCAGCCGCCCGCGCGGCGCCTCGGCGACGAGAAGTCGAAGGAGAAGAAGCCGGAGATCGACGAAGACGAAGTCAACTGGACCCAGTCCTGCGGGTCGCACGCCATGTGCTCGGGCTGCGACGACATGAAGAACGAGGGCTGCCGCGCCATCTTCGAGGAGCTCCAGTCGTTCATCGGGCTGCCCGACTTGGACGAGTTCCGCGCGAAGATCGCGTACGGAATCGAGATGGGCACCATGGGCGAGCCCAAGCCCTCCGTCGCGGCCATCGCGCACTGGTCCCTCATGCCCATGATGCTCGAGCCCGACTACCTCATGCCGACCTGCGAGAACATGGGCTACGCCTACGCGCCGCGGCCCGGCTTCGACGGCGACCGGCCGCCGCCGCCGCCGGCCGAGCACCGCGCGACCCCGACGGCGTGACCACGAGTGTTTGAAAGACCAAAGAGCGCTCGCGCGTCCGTCGGGGACAGCGGCCTCGCCCATGTTAATCCATTTGCCTCAGAGCACCGATGATGCAGTAGATGGTGTGCACATTGAAATCATTCACTTTGCCTTTTGACGTCATCGGGGGCAGCCTTTCTCGAGTCCCCCATCCGCGCAGCTCGTCGTCGTCGCCCCGCGCCTTGAGCGCGTCGCGCCGTTCCGACGGTGTTGGTCATGCACTACGGCTCGACGGGGTACGAGGAGCTCAAGGAGAGCGAGTCGTCGCTGCTTCGGCCGGGCGTCGCCGAGAATTCCGGGGGCGCGCCGCCGTCGAAATACCTGAATCGGCGAACGGGCTACCTCGTGCTCTTCGCCGCGTGCCTCGTCGTTTTCCTGCCGATCTTCACGTCGTACACGAAGCGTGACACGCGCACCGAGTACTTCGGGACGGACGAGCCCGCGTCCGACGACGACCTCGAGCCCGTCCTCGTGGCGTCGTTCGGCTCGGGCGAGTACGAGCTCGACCTCTACTGCCACGGCTACCTCGACGACCTCGACTTCAACCCCTACCACTGCGGCAAGCCGGACTACACGCTCTTCTGCCCCCAGCTCTGCGCGGCCGGCACCGCGTGCGCGGAGATTTGCGGAGCGGCGTGCGAGTCTCCGGAGGACTCGTGGGCCGCCACCTGCGTCATGGGCGCCTTCGCGAACCTCGAGGAGACCTGCGCCGGGACCTACGTCCCGCAGCCGCCCGCGCGGCGCCTCGGCGACGAGAACTCGAAGGAGAAGACGCCGGTGATCGACGAGGACGAGGTCAACTGGACCGCGGACTGCGGGACGCACGCCATGTGCTCGGGCTGCGACGACATGAAGAACGAGGGCTGCCGCGCCATCTTCGAGGAGCTCCAATCGATCATCTGGCAGCCCGAGTACAACCTCTTCCGCGCGAAGATCGCGTACGGCATCCAGCTCGGCGAGATGGGCGAGCCCAAGCCCTCCGTGCAGAACATCGCGCACTGGTCCCTCATGCCCACGATGCTCGAGCCCGCCTACCTCCGGTCGGCCTGCGAGAAGATGGGCTACGCCTACGCGCCGCGGCTCGGCTGGGACGGCGACTGGATGCGGCCGCCGCCGGTCGAGTACCGCTACCCCGGCGACGTCATAGTCTAGTCGTAATCACGGGCGTGTGAAGACTAAAGGCCGCTAGCGCGTCCGTCGGAGACGACGACCCCGTCCCGCGGCGAGCGCGCCGCCCCTCGGAGAGCGCGGCCCGACGCGCGCGCCGTCCCTCGAGAAACGACGGCCGTCGAATCCGCACACCGCGATGCGCAACACATCCATCGATCCCCAGCGCTGGGGCAGGCGTCGGTCCCGCGCCGGGCGCCTCGAGCGAGCGAGCGAAGCGATGCGGCGCGGCCCTCACGTGATGGTCAGGAGGTCGCGAATGCTGCGCGGGGCGACGGCGTACGCATGCGCGCGCGCGCGGTCGGCGCGCGCGGTCGGCGCGCGCGGTCGGCGCGCGCGCCCGCCCGGCGCCCCCGCCCGCGGTGCCGCGCGCCGCGCTGGGGCACGCACCTTGGTCGCGGCTCCGTGCGCATGCCGACGAGGATGACCGCCGGGATGAAGCCGTAGTAGACCACCGGCCGCAGGTACTCCAAGGCCTTGAAGCCGAGCTTCTGCAGGTTCGCGGTCTTGCTCTTCTTTTTGGCCATCGTGGAGCGCTTCGCCGCTTCCCAGCCCGAGCTATCCCCGCGGCGACGTTGACGGCACGCAAACTTGTTGAGCTTCGAGGGGCTGGGGCTGGGTCTTCCCGGGGAACGAAACAGCCCCGACCATGGCCTTCCGGCGCGGGTCGCGGACGGGGGTGCAGAAGCGCGAGTTCACGGAGAGCATGGACGTGGCCGAGACCCCGAGCTTCGCGGCGAACGCCGCCGGCTACCTCGAGAAGCGGGCCAAGACGCCGCCCTACCTCTGGCAGAAGCGCTACTTCAAGGCGAGCGGCCACTACCTGCGCTACTACGGCGACGAGGGCTGCGCCGTCCTCCTGGCGGCCATCGAGCTCCGCGGCGCCGCCGTCGCCGAGGCCGGGCCGCGCGCGCTGGCGATCACGACGGCCGCGGGCGAAAAGATCCTGCTCCGGGCCAAGGACGAGGCCGACGCGCAGGAGTGGGTCGCGGCCCTCGTCGTCCTCCAGCGGGGCCTGGAGGCGGCCGGCGAGGCGCGAGCCCGGCGTGTTCTTTCCTTCCCTTTTTCCTCCCCGGCGTTTTTTTCCCTTCCCCTCGACGTCCATCCGCCCTTTCTTTCCTCGTTCCTCCCCGACGGCCGCCGTCGCAGGTGTCGACGCCGCTCGACGTGCCGGCGCTCGCGCGCAAGTCCGAGAAA